AAGGGCTTTGTAATAACTGTAAATGTTTCTGTCCAGCTGGCACTATGGAAAGTCTTCTCAGTTGACTGTTGGGTGCTCTAATCTAACTACAAAACGCCATAGCTTTAAGTTTAAATTTGGTTTCAGTGGAACAACATCACTCACTGAGATTCTCCCATTTATATCTGATTACCTAATAGAATGAAACTTACTTCTTGATTTTTGCTGAGAGGCAACACAACAAATTCCTATTGACTTGCAATTCTAGGAAATACGGACACTTAAGATCATCTCGGTTCAGAAATGCTGATCACCATTTGGAAAATTAAAGTGAATAATGCTATGACAGTTTTTTAATATTATTAAACGTTTAGCGCATTCTAAAGTGACAGTTTTTATTAAATATATTATAGACATTATTAGTGAATGGTTTTTCGGCATACTTCTGAACTATCTGACTAAGACTTCCCTTCAACTAAATTATAAACATAATCACTCCCTGGCACAAATATACAACCTGGACTAAAACAAAGAGACAGAAGTGAATCAACTAAATATTAAGTGAATAAACTTCCAACTTTTCTGCGAATTCCTGATATGTTTTAAAAATTTGTTATAAGAATCACATATCTGAACAGTCACCGATACAAGTTTGCACTTCTCTTGTGCGCGTTCACGAGCATCTTGTCAAAAACCCTAGCTAATACGTTTATAGTCAGTTAATTTAATAAGAATATTTTCTATTAAAACACCATAAATTTTATTTTATTCATATATATATTTCTTTTAAGAACATGTTCCAAAATAATTTAAACTTTTTGACTTGTTTGTCTACGAAAACTTACAAATGTACTACATTACACCATGTTTGTTAAGGCCGATCATCTTGAGTAGCAATAACTCATCCCTTCCTTCATAATCTAAAAGCAAACCAGGCACCGTAACTACATAAATAGAAGCAACATTTTATTGTAGTTTCAACATTCAAACTGATGTTTTCCTCATTTCTATCTGTTATCATTCTTACTTGATGGAATTATGTTTTGATGTGCTTTCCATTATGCCACTGGTTACTGCTCTTCAAAATCTGTTCTATGTAATTATTAATGCATGTTCTCGTTTAGTCAATTCGGCGCACAATTTTATAAGCACTTCACTGTCCTAAAATTGTGAAGTGAAATAAATTCATTTTTCTCTCAGAATGTTATTATTTTTAATATTTCTATGTATATACTTTAAACTGTTGAACTCCAACTAACAAAAACGAGAACAGGATGGAACACTGAAAAGATCTATACACAGAAAGTCGATGTGGAACGGACAGCTAACTAACTTTCACAGTTGGGTCCCCCTTTACACCAAACGAAACCTGATCCGTTCACTCAGTTACTAAGTTCGCAGAATTTGCCCCCCAGACAGCATAGAAGATGAAATGGACAATCTCAAGAGAATCCTTGTCGAGAATTGTTATCCAGAAAGATTTATTGCAAAATCAATGAATCATAGACCAAAAAGCCGCCCATGGTTAGGGTCCCGAAAGAAGTACACTACATGAACCTTCAATTCAATGGAACATATATGCGGAGACACTAAAAAATCGACTGTCGCGCTCACTTAAGAAGACCTCCTTCGCAGCTGAACTACGGCTAACCTCCACAAAACCTATGTTAATGTGAACGTGAAGGATAAGCTACCACTGATGGCCTCATCAATGTGTATTTATAAATTCACCAGCTCATGTCGACAGTACCCAGCGTTCGCTTTCCAAACGTATCACTGAACACTTACCAACGTGGTTTTACAAAGGGGAAAAAAGATGCCCCCGCAGCTCCATCTTAGAACATCTGATAGAATCCGGCCACCAAGCTACACCCCAAACAAACTTCAAAGTCATCTACAGAATAAGAAATAGTCTTCCTAAAGGTGTACGAATCAGACCTCTTCAAAGTGAAGAAGCAATGGCGATTCACTTGGTAAGTCCTGAACTCTGCATACAGAAGTTCGTTCAATCACTACACTTGCAATGGACGTATCTATCTTATTACCCGACAAGTAAATTCTACCAAATCCTTTTTTGTCTGAGTCTTCATTAGTATTATTTTGTCTTCTCATTTGTAATATTTTACATTTTCAACTTTTTTTCTCTACCCCCTCCCAATTCAATTTCTACACTTCATTACCACTGTTACTGACTTGACCAACGCTCAATTTCTAGTCATCTGTGTTACGTCGTCCAACTTATCTGCTCAATTTCAGTTCTAATTTAAATGGCATTATTCTCCAACCCAATTCTACTTAGTCTCTACCTGTAATTACCTCTGTTGCTACCCTGATCTAAGTTGAAACATTTTAGTCAATTATATTACGTCATCTAACTCACTAACTCAGTCTTACTTTAGTTGATGTCTGATTAACCTTGTTTCTATATTAGATCATTCTTGTATTACCTGATCAATTATCTAAACTGGACAAACCCCATGTACGCACACACACAAATAATTATATATAGATGCGATTGTACAGCTATGTGAATGAATTCGCCGAAAAGTCTCTTCGCTTAACGTCTTCTCTTTAAATTATTGTATTTTTGTATTGTACTATACATGGTAAGTATCAAGCAGTTTTGTGACATACTGTTCGTAATAGTAGTAGTAGTGTGAAATTGAAGAGAAATGTAAATATTTCCTAACTTTCATGTATTTCATCTCAGTCACCGAAAGATTACTACATTCACCCTTTGATTAGTAGATAAAAATGCAGTGAAATACTGTATCATTGACTTGTTCATATTTTTCCAAAAATCATAATTGTTAATGAGATCTTCAGTTTATTTCTTAAAAGTGAGGTATTCATGTAGAACAATTATAAGGGGCCTCTTTTTATTAATAGTATTAATGTCTTTTATGCATAAACAATATTTGAAGAAACATTTCTTTTGAAACTTTAGACTTTTTCAACGCGTAATTTAAGCTATGGAATTAATTACCAAGAATAAATATATTATTCCACGATTAATATATTCGTTGAAAAAGGTGGGCAACGTGGAGCCTAAAGGGAAAAGATTTCTACCCCCAAGCTGATATCTGAGATAATTATGATTTCAAAAAAATTTTCAGTATTTCCTTTACTCTTTAAATTGACTTATTTCTAAAAATAGTAAATTTCGTCTTCTCGCATTTTCAAAATTTCTAAAGCTTTTGGAACAAATTATGATACTCCACAGAGGACTTTTTACTGTCAAACAGGCCATTATACTTTCCTACAAAACTTGAAAATCAGTTATTAGCCTTATTGTTATTACCATTTGCTCTTTATTTAGTTAGAATCAATGGTTGTATATAGGTCTCACACAAATGTTTTGTAAAGTGTCTTTATGCAGTCAAAAACCAGCCAAGAGGATTGAAATTCTGAAGTGAAGCACTAGTGTAGCCCCCATTAGTTTAATTAATAATGAACATAATACAAAATCATGTGATAAATGGATGCAGATAAATGTTGTTTGAAGGAAAACTCAGTGTTTAATTCAGGAGTCTTATTTTTGTGAGTTGAATTTAAGGTCATTGTTTGCCTGTCACCATCTTTAAACAAACCTTCAGATTTGATTGCAGTCATTGGTCAATTCTTAAATAAGAGTGGTAAAATAATGCAGGAAATACAAAGTTTTTCTTATCTTGAAAGCATTATGAATAAGGACAAAAAATAAGGACAATTCCACGAAATCAGCTCATTGGGAACCTCTAAATTCAAAGATATCGATGCACTCAATCGAACAGAGAGTCTACTCGATGAAGTGAATGTGTCATAATTCAGCTATCGATTGAAGGCCTATTGGCTTAAGGGTGTTCTTCCCCTGCCAGCTCATAATGTAGCCTCACTGGCACTTACTTCTATCTATATATAACTGTCTCCACTGGTCAAGTCTACTTAGTGTTTAAAAACTGATGTAATCATCATATAACCTAATTATCTCAAGCGTATTCTCTTTCAGTTCATAAATAGTCCTTCTATTCAGTTACGAATTAATTTTTCTAGTTGATCACAGTGAATGAAGAACTTATACTGTTAATTCAGTGAGTTACTCAAAATAGTGTACACAATGCACTGAGTTTATCTGCAGTAGTTACTGTCAGTTCGCATGACAGATGTTTTGATAAGGAATGAATGATATTGTTTTATTAAAATTGCTATTTGAGTTTTTTCAGGTTGCAATAAATATATTTTAAGCTTGTAATATGTGCACAATGCCCATGAACTCATAGGTCAATTTCTAACCCTTCAACAATCATCGTAAATGCTATTCACTCGTGTCATTAGCTACTGTTTTTTTTGGTTGGCAAACTATAGCACTTGGTTAAGGGAGTTTTCTTTTAGAAATTTCTTATGCTACTGAGGATCTTCACAGTGAATATTAGACATTTAGACAGGACAGAGACACTTTTATTTCAACTGTTTAGGCTTCTCATACTTATTAAATCATATCAGTTAATCAGTCAGTCCATAAGAATAGGTCCAGAGAATTATGTTCTACAGAAAAATGGGTTTTAATACCATAAATCGCTGAAATATAAGTAGCTGTTTATGAATTACTTCGATGACCATTCCATTGTAGTACTTATCATAAGAACATTTTAATAGGAGAAGAAATATCTATTATTATACGATAAGTAACCAATTGTAAATACAGCAAATAGCTGAAATAAAAAATAAAGAAGTAAAATAGAACAAAGAAAAATAACGAAAGGGAGACGAGAAGGAATGAAGAGCCCGACAACTTCACGTGTACATACACAGGTGTATGCCTGCGTGTGTGTCTGTAGGTTGTAAACAATCATATATATATATATATATATATATATATATATATATATATATATATATGCATCTATACATGTAACAATAATGTATACAAATATGCACAGACACTAGGGGAGAAAGATATGAATGTTGGGTAATTCCAGTTACAAATATAACACTTTACATAATATATGCGAGAATAGCGTGTCTTTCAAATTCTAAAACTGTCATTTATATATATATATATATATAGGTGTGTTTATAAATAACAGTCATTCGCATTATGAAATAAAAAAAATATTGAAAAGAGTAGATAAAGAGAGACAGAGTAAAGAAAAGAAAAGGAAGCGGAAGGCAAAGGACACAAAAACAAACTGTCCGCTGTTGACCTTAACTACTCTGGTCAACGCACAGTATAAGTATGTGTTTTCGTGCACATCTGTAATTATACAACTTACATACCTTTAAATCAATTTGAAATTAAAATATATAAAGTCTATATGATAAAAAGATGAGTAAATAAGTAAATAAATAATAAATAATTTAAAAAATAATTATTTTCTTTTCTGTATTTCACAGCAGCAGTTTTTTAAAAATACGAAAGTTAATAGGCAAGTATTGTATAACGAATCATTGGTCCTCATAGTTATTTACATTGACGCTTATAACAATAATGTTTAATTACACTGACAGTGTAATCACATAATTAAAATTAAATTAAGAAAAAGAATTTTAGGCAAATAAAAAGCTGGAAGCTAAGAACATCATTGATATTTTGGAAAGAAAGAAGAAAGGTTGAACACACATTCACAAAGCACTCTCAAAACTGCTCAACATGTACTTGTTTGGAAGAATTAAGATTCTGTTTATTGCATTACAGTTCTGCTTTTTGTGAAGATCTTATAAGTGAATTAAGAAGTATATAGGTTATCTAATCATTTGAAATAGTATAGTTCTTGAATTATTTATTAACATATTTACAGGAAATACATATGTGAAATATATATGTATATATGCCGCTTTACAAATTTTTCCAATCACATTGTCAGAGCAACTTCCACAAACTAAAAGGAATGAAAATAAATAAAACAAGGAAGGCAATATCAAATCTAATTTTTAGCTGAGACTATTTGTGGATTTCAGTAATCGTTTATGATTAAAATTCCTCACTTGCCTAAACAACTTAAAATAACAGTGCACGTGACAGTTGACTACTAGGAACTAGGTGGGTGCGTACTGATGAAGAGTCCCAAACTAGGACGAAACAGCTGTCCATTACTCCCAGGTTTTCCAGTGGTTCTCTAACTGATGTCAGCTCAGGATTAAATCCTCCATGCAATCAAACAAAATCCCTACAAAACCAATACTTGATATTCTTTGTAGTTTTTATTTTATTTTACCACTTGAATTTATTCCACTTCACTTCACATCTTTATTCTTATCGTAAATGTACTCCTAATTTTTAAAATTTTTAGATAGCGCTTGACTATTTTTAAAAAATATTTTCGGTATCAATTCACTTATAAAACAATCTTTAATAATATTGTAATTCATCCACTTCAACTCTACCCCTTATGACATTTAAATTATCATTATTCTTATCACTAATATATGTATATTGACTGAGCCATTATTTAGTGCCAATTAATAACTTTTTCTGTAATATAAGTACGACTGTACAGCTTGAAAATGAAGTCATTGAAAAGAAATTTCTTCGCTGAACAAAAAAACAGCTGTATTTTTTTTTATGAAGAGTCACGGAACCCTGTTAAACTGCTGAAATCTGATTGGTTGTCGGCCTGACTAATAGATAATAGTTAATATTTATATAATTTGAATTCTTGTTGCTTATTTGTAAAATTCCAAAGAGAAATTTTTAAATCATCAGTACATTGTACACGCCTTTATTAGTTCTGAAAACGTTTGAAGTTGTATGAGGTCCTTCTAAACTTTCCATCTTATTTGTCTTTTATGAACTGCCTCTCTCTCCTGTGTATAATGTACATATATACGTATAAAAGTTTCGCAGCATCAGGAAACTATTTATTTATCCAATTTATTATTCAACCGTAGCATATTATGTATATGTGTATACTAATTTTATCAACTTTCGCAGCTATTTCCTTTTCTTGTAAATAATTCAGTCATCTTAATTACTAACTGAAATCAACTTTTGTTGCACAGTGTTAACACTTCTATGCAGTTTCAAATCACTTTTTAAGTATACAGCTTGAAATAGTCTAAATAAAGAGAAATATATATCAGATGAAAGCTGACTTTCAAAACATTACGGGGATGTTAAACTATCATAGCCGAAATCCAGGTTTGTAAAAAGTTGATCTTGAAGAGCCAATCAGATTTAGAGAACACTATGAAAGGTCATCCCAAATCAAATCCTGCCTGAATTTATGGCTTTTTTGGGGAGTGGGTTGGTGAGTTGGTACAGTATTCTACTAATTACCTATGTACGTTTTCCTGTAAATCTACCCTGTCAGGTAGATTGAGTGTTTTTACGGTCAGGGCAAGGATTAGGGTTTGGGGTATAGATTAAGAGTGAAGTTTTAGGGTTAAGAGTAGATCTAGAGTGCCAGTTAGGTTAAAGAACTCTGTCAGGAATATAAATTGAGCTTGAAGTACTATAATCTATAATAGTCACCTGGATGAATACATCCCTTCCGGATGGTGTGATTTCTTTATGATTATCCCTGGAGTAACTTAGAGACATTCTTACAACACAAAAGGGGACAATTACTCAGTACAGTATCATGTTTGTAATGTTGTTTATGGCATTTAGCACATTAACGATCATGTGACTTTTTCGCCTCTGAATTGTGATTGGTTGCTTAAGATCGAAGAGGCTTTGGGTCCGATAGTTTCACTTCAACCACATTACATAAATTAATTACGCTTTCCAAAAAGAGGAATTTTGACCGTGATAACATCAGAAACAGAATCCATCTCCCAAGATGAGATATTACAAAGCATTTTCGACACTGTTTCACCACTAAAATATACCTATATGTAGTAAAAATTTTTCAATGCCATAATCCTCGCATTTTATTTTTGAACTAGTGGATGGAATATCACCGTTGTCTTAATGGCCATCTGGCCTTCCACTAAGGTTGTGAAATAAGAGTGTACAGCAGTGCCCAGTATCTATTTAAAAAATTTTTTTTATTGGCTTTGTAATTTACTAGGAAACGATGTAACGTTTTTCCTTAACGTCACAACAACACTATTAGCTGGAATACAGACATAGTGCTCCAGTTGTTATTGAAGTAGTTCCTCTTTAAAATTAAGATATTTTTACATTCGCTTTCAAGCTGAGAAAAGGAGCATATTTATTTCTACATATTCTAAGGATGTTATCAAATCAAACAAGTTTAAAAGGTCTGCTAATTGTCAAAAAAAGATGAACAGCAGAAAAGTAGAGCTTAGTCATTTTGACAGGTTATAATCTCTAGTTAGCCTATTTATTGTAAATGTGTTCACTTGTTAGAAAGAGCGATAAAATAACATTTCTGAACAGAATTTCATGTCTATAGTTATATTTCACTTAGTTTGCTTAACAGTCCGAAAAATTCAGCTTACAGACACATGACATGTATGTATTCGATAAATTATTACCAGTAAACTTAAGAAAAGTCGACATTTGAGTATGCAGCCGGGATGACTGTTATATATATATCAGTTGCGGGTTGTGTTGAGTTGTAGGAGTGTGGGTTATGAAATATACTTTAGGAGAGTTCTAGTCTCAACGAAGTTGTACCCACTTGGGTCGACTGTATAAATGAAACTGATGACGACAACAGCAATCGATTCTGATAAAAAAAATAACTATGACATTAGACTGTATGCAGAATGATAGTTAAATATCATTTTAATTCTGACTTCTAGTTATTACTCTGTTCAATGATCTTATTACACTCATTTGTGTTAGAATTCTAACGAGCAATAATCACCTAAGATTAATAGCTCTGTTGTTTCATGTTAACTAATCTAATAGACAGAATAACTTTGATGACTAACTCGCCGCTTACCATTCCGATTCCACTCGAGCAATGGCCCGGCGTGTGACGTCACTTGATGGTTTCCTCACAGTATGGTCAGTTCACCTCCATTACTTCCTGAATATTTGTTGCACAATCGGTTCCTGGTTGGTTCGCTCCCAGAGATCCCTGCTGCTGATCTTTTCTGACCATTCATTCCTGAGTATTGAGAGAAGACAGTTGATGATGAAGGTGTGTAAATTGTTCAAAGTGGCCTTCGTGACGCGCCAAGTCTCTGATCTGTATAGTAGTACTGACTTCCCAATGGAGTTGAAAATCCGGATCTTATTTTTCATGGTGAGGATTGCTGTTGACCTCCACTTAGACTTGAGAGTGATGAAAGCTTGTCTTGCTTTTCCGATTCTTGCCTTGATATCCCCATCAGCTCCGTACACCTGTAGTTGAAACGATGCTTCTCAGGTTGGTAGGTAAAGGAGGTTGTTTCTTTCAGATTCCTCCCATTTATGCTGACTGATTGTTGTCTGTTGCCCAGGAATCCTCATCACCTCTGTTTTATCTATGTTCATCTGAAGTCCTATCTTCTCTGGAGGCTTCTTCTGCCAAATTTTTGCTTTTCACTTGCATATCTTCCAGTTTGTGGAAAATTAGACATATATCATCGGCGAAGTCCAGACCCTCCAAGTATTTTGTGTGGGTCGATTTTATGTATGTTTCCTCCCTACCCGCTAACTGTCTGTCACACTATCCAGTCTACCGCAATCAGGAAGACGATTGGAGAAAGTAGGCAACCTTGTCTTACCCCTGCCTTCACTTCAGAGGATTCCGTAAATTTCCCCTTGTGGATTATTTGGCATGCGGTATTACCTTACCACTGTTGGATGAGGTGTATAATATATATATATGTTCTTGAATACATTTAAAGATCGTACTTAATAATTAACCAAATGACCTACAGGCTTCAAAACAGAACTTACCTGTTCTAAAGGTAGTATAGCTCTTCCACCATGATCATAATTCTTAAAAATAGCTGTAAAAAGGAAATAAATAAAAAAGGAAAAAAAAATAACAAACAATATTAAGAGCTGATAGCAAAGATATTTATTCAGGGCTAAATAAAAACATTTTAATGGCTAGAATAAAAGCGTTTCCCTCGTAGTATTGATTCTTTGCTTTGATATGTATAAGTTAGTACAACTAATCAATAATAACAAACATATCAATTCATAGGTAGATTCTTCAATATTATTCAACTGTTCAACTAGGTGGCACATATCCCTCACTAACCTGATATTAATTAATTCATGTCTTCTGTGAATAAAAACAAACCTTCATTCAATAAGTCTTTAAATTATTATGGATTTTTCACCATATAATAATAGGAAGAAAGCAATTATCCACTTGACACAAGTGTTTATGTTTTCGCATGCCTATTATCGTTTCTAGACATTTAGGAATAAAGAGCATAAAATAGATATTCGATTAAAACAACAATCTGTCGATTCAACTATTTTGTACCTTCTCAATTGAAAAATAAACATTCGAAAGACACTATGCATTGGAGTAAACACAATGAAATAATAAAAACTAATGTTACATGTATTTTGTCACTTCATAATAATCTTTTAATATGTAAGGTGAAAAACAGCAATAATTTCATGAATCTAATGCTTATCCTGATCAATATGTTGATGACCAATTTTCCAAGTATTTGTATGTGTGTGTGTGTTTTAACTAAGATGAGAAACAAATAGATGACCAGATTTTATCCTTATCTTAATTTACCTTTTGAAAATACGTCAGTTCAGAAGACTCACTAGGGACTGTACTCATTTCAGATGCATGCAACGCTTATTCACAAGTGAAATTCAATTTCGTGTCTAGACAATTAATAATTAACACTTTTTGTATACCTCACTAAATTAATATGTTTTCTAATATCATCTATCCCTTCGATCATAGCATGCTTCAAATAACATATGCATATGCCAACTTACGCCATCTCTGGCGCATACGTGACATCCGGTTGTCGACCAAAGGGCGTGTGTACTGCTCAGTAGTTAGCTCCGTCCTCCTTTATGACTGTGAGACCCAGCCATTGAAAGTGGAAGACATGAAAAGACTGGCTGTCTTTGATCAAAGGTGCCTGCGTTCTATCTCTCGTGTGAATTGGCATAATAAGGTGAGCAATACTAAGATGAGGCGTCGGTCGAGTGCTAAGTAGGTGGGAGGGGAAATCAATAGACGAGGCTGTGAAGTTACATCGATTGAGATAGTTTGGATATGTGTTACGTTTACCTAGGCATCGCCTTCCTTGACAACAGGCGATGTTAGCTGAAATAGGGTCAGGTTGGAAAAGAGTCAGTGGTGGTCGTACCAAAACATGGCTTCATCACTCAACAAAATCCACAACATTTAGTTTAAGCCAGCCACGTGTTGAGGTGTAGACTTCCTGGTTGGAGTCTTCAGGATGGTAAACACTAATAGCTGGAAACAGTTGGTGATATGGATCAAATCGTTCTCAATGGCGCAGATACATCCACTCCTTGTGATTTAAAATATCCAATAAAATTCTAGTGCTCTTTTATATTACTATTCTTTTTGCCTCATATATCTGTATATTATCTCTCTTTAGAATCTCTCTCTACTCCCTTTTCTTGCTTTGTGTGCTACATGAACTGTAGGGACTCGAACTGCTACACATCTGTGCAAAGTTCTGTGTTGAAACTAGTCAGTCAGTCAGTCAGTCAGTCAGTCAGTGAAATAACAAGGTTTTGTTCTATTTTTTCGTATAAGATTCTGTAAATTAGGTGACAAGTGCATTTGAAGCTAAAGCCTAGGTGATACTAGAATACAAAGCAGCAGCAAGGTACTAAAATTCTATCTCTCAAATTTCAAACATGTGATGCGGCGTCTATCTGTTTGAATTCTTTTGTTTAACTTCCACGCGAAGTACTCATTACATTTACACAATTCTGATTAGCTGAAGTTATACAAACCTATAATAATTCAAAATGTAATCACTTAAGGCAAAAAATATGTTTAAGTGTTTAATTGAGTCCTTAACAATCATTGATTCAAGTGTAAAAATTTGGAAGATTAAGCGTACTGAGGGTGTAACCGAAAACAGAAGAAATGATTCCACTTAGAATTTGAATTGGGTTATTTTCCTCATATTTCGCATAAAGTCGTGTTTCCATACTATCCAATATATGAACACACAGCCATTACCAACCAAGATTGATCAATGCTATTCACAGCATAATAAAATCGCTCATTGTCAATAATCCACGTGATCATGAAGGCTTGATAAGTTTTAGACACATCTATAGTAAAGTCCTACAACCTTGGGGAAACTAGATTACAGTTATAGTGTCAAAATTTGACGTCAATTAGTGTTAACGCTGGTAATGTGAAAATACTATCTCTTAAAGTGAACTTTCTAAAATGCATTTAGAGTGAATCATGATGGCAAGTCGTATACCTAGACAACTACATTGCAAATTTCACTCGTAGATATTTAGGTGTTGGTTTGTGGGGATTTGGTTGTTACAGGATTTCATCATGTGCTGACATTGGTTAAAGAACCATTCACTCGTAGATTTCAGTCAGCATCAAAAATTAAGAGTAGAGATATGATGTTGATTACTTTCCATGAAGTACACCGTTTGATCATCGTACACTCCTACTAAGTAAGGTTATCAAAAAATGATCGAAGCATAACCAGTGGAACCTCCTTACACATGTTGACTCAAAACACAGATTTAGTTTTTCATAACGTGAAATAGAAACAATAGTTATTGTCTAAAAAATATTTTCGGTATTACAATGGCCTTAGGCAGGGAAAATAATAATCCTGAACTTTGCATTTGAAAAGATAAATTGATATGAAGCTCTCTCTACCTCTTCATATTATTACATCACTCATTCAAAACTTGTAATACTTTTAGTTAAAATTCATTTTTGAATAATTTTTATCTATACCAATATAGAAATAATTGGGAAGAGACAAAGCAAAATAAGAAAATGTAATAATTTACCAACTGCTTTGGTGATAAGAGCCATAGCGCTAATAAAATGTGGATAGTCTAAGCGCCAATCGACATTCACAAATCGATTTACAAGTTTTGAAAACAGAGTATGTGGGAGGGTATAACCTGTTAGCCAAGAACAAAAAAAATAAATGAAAATAAATATACTTGAAATTAACATGAATAATACACTTAACAGTGTAGAAAATGTTTTCCAGAGTAAATTTGATTTCACTTTACAAAATATAATCAATTTTATGAAAACCATTCCCTAAACAGTCAACTGAACAATCAGTTTAGTTAATTAACTACAACAGTTAGAGAACCATTATAAAACCTAAGAGTACTGGACAGCTGTTTCGTCACGGTTTGAGACTCTCCAGCAGTACACACTCACCGCGGTTCGAACTCAGGACATTCTGCTTACAAGGTGAGCTCGTAGGCCATTAAGTCGATGGACCCACTCAATGGCCAGTCCATTAATTCGAACTCCGGTGGATGATTACTGATGAAGCGTCCCCAAACTAAGACGAACGAAACAGCTGTTCAGTACTCCCAGGTTTTTCAATGGTTCTCTAACTGATGTCAGCTCATAATGAAATCCTCCAATCAATCAAACAAAATCCCTACAAAACCAATACTTGATAATTAACTACAGTTAATACCCATCAGTTCTGTATCATATTGATCACGTGGGAAAGATGTATACAAGTACAAAATAGCTGTTTCAATGGTACACAGGTAAATATACTTAATATGTACATCCGAAAAATCCGGGCTTTCAATCAGTAAAACAACGATAGATAAAGGATTTGAATAGGCTCTTTATAGTCAGAAGTAATTGAAAAATATTAAATGACTGTTCTTCTATCAGTCCATTTTCAACAATCTATTTCCATAAAGTGGTAAATATATATAACTGTTTGACACCAGTGACTGAGAAAATTACCAATAGTGCTGTCTGTTTCACTCTGCTGAAAAGTACAGAACATAGTGCATAGAACACTTACCTGCTTGTTCAACAATAATTCGAAAATCTAAACTTGTGACATGAGCTGTTCTCTGTGGATCAAAACTTGCGAATAAACGAGACCATGAACGAAGTATATCCCATACACGTCGAAAATCAGATTCACATAAACGTCCTGTTCCATCACGATCAAGAAGTGCTACTAGTGACCGACAAGCATCTGTACTTACCTAAAGATGTTTTTAAAAAATAGCAGATATGAATTTTAAAAGAAGTCATTATTAATCTGTTTCCAGATAAATACTGTTTACCTTTTAAAGGTGTATATTTACGCTGTAAAACAATCAAACAACTGTATCATCGATTGTTATCAAAAATGATTCCGTACTTGTATGTTTCTTCAGCCTATATGGTTTAATTTTATACACAGTTCAGAAACTAGGCAATACATACAAAAAACATATTCAGTTTATGTTGTAGGTTAATAGATATTTTCAAATGAACATCCTTCTTTGATAATAATCCATGTAAACTACTTAATGTAAATTAATCAGACAGAGAGGAGGGTATGTGTGTCGACAAAATCCACTTCAAATAATCTCTGTGATTAATGTTAGCTACACAGCACTGATCATGAGAAGTTAGTCCTGACACTAACAGCGCTTAAGACAACATCAGAATCCAGTGTGATAAGCCAAAAGGAGGCGAGTGAAAGTGAGCACAGTATACTCTCTTCTATCTGGATGGTATAGATGATATGAACAACATGGATTTGGTCAGTGTTTTCATAATAAATTATTTCCATTGAGTTTTATAGACAAAAAGTGTATGAAAATATTTATTCAAGCTAAATTGGATGGACTGTATTGTGGACAATGAAAGCAACTTGTGAAATGCAATCAGTATCATTAATCTTTAGTGAGATTTGAAGTGGAGAGATATTGGATGTCGACACCTTGTCTTGAAGGTATGTGAAACATCTTTAAGCATTGATAATCTTACTTTATCCCATGGACTCATCACATTATTAGATAACACATTTCCAATTAAACGGCTAAAATATAGTTAGAAAGTGTTACTTACTAGATCACTCAAGCAACTGACTGAATGAAATCAACAAATGACAGGTAGGTTCTATAAATTTTTTGTGTTCAGACATATAAAAGCTTAGTTGTGGATGAATTCCTCTATGCATCTCATCATGAATCAATATCAGGTGGAGAACCAAGGATTAGTGAATACCTAACGTTGGTTCGATACAGCATCCATCTATTCTGAAGTTAATTAAATCCTCTTTGGTTCAGAAGCAGGATATGAATGAGCTTGTTAGGAGAAAATGTTCATTTTTGTTGAAATTCTTAATATTGTATTAATAACTGTGATATAATATGTCAGTCGTATCATGTATTCTATCGATACCGAAAATATTTAAAACCAGAGGACTGTATACCTTAGTGATACAAATAACCATGCGTTCGCAAATATGCACTTGTTCTACAGAACAAATATGTGTCATAATACTTATGGTATATCAGTTTTAAAACTGAAGAATCTACGCTAAAGTGATATGAAATAAAACTCTGTTACATACCATATTGTATGGAGCTCGATGATCATCTCTCAGAAGGCAATTAAGAATTGGTTCTAACTGGAATGCATCAATAGCCATCGATTCACCTGAAGCTTCATAAAATAACCGTCTAAGACGAGGTTGAAACAATTCATAATTAGGATCAGGTTCTGGTCCAGTGGCAGCTAGACCACTGAGTTCAACTCGTTCTAGAGTGGATCTAATGTTAATAGAAAAAAATGAAAGAAAAGACCTTTACAAATTCCACTGAGAACATGTTACAAAAAGTTGAAACTTTGGTAAATATAAAGTACTGCTTGTATATACTACATAGGTTATGGAATTTTTTCACAGGAGTACTGACTAATCAACTCCGCCTAATTTACCATTCGGTTCCTACCCTGGAAAAAAGGAAAGGTAAGAAAACATGCATATCACTAAGGAAACTCCATAGCGTAAAAAAAACTAACTAACTGATTAGCTGTGTGAAACCCAGATAACAGTATGCCTTTCTAATTATCTACCAATGATTTTATATTCTAGCAATCTACGCTATAGACTTTTGGTATAGTTTAACCTATGCCGGAAGTGTAGAAGTGAGAAAAATCAGGAAATATCACCCGAAAAACTTTATATGCAGTAGACAAGCCCTAGTCCTCTTTACGTCAAAATAAGTGAAAGCACTCATATCTACAAAGACTAAATATCACAAGGTGCGAAAATACCCGGAAGACTATCAGAGATGGAAGGTACAATTTCACTTGAATCCGTTTAAACACGAAACTTCACAAATTCATTCATACACATCCAGTTAAGAAAAAATATCACTCTTCTTTGAACATTTTACAACCTTCAAATAGATTTAAAATAAATAGTGAGCTATGTATTAAAACTTCGGTCTTCCCATCGTTTGATTTTGCTGGATTAAAATTCTTAGAATCTCCTGGCATATCTGCTCCTATGAAGAATGATTCAATGAGGCATTTACGTTAACTTGATGTTATTTAGTTAGTAATGGGCAGTAGGGGAATTCAGAAGGTGAGTTCCTTGCTACTTCAGACTCGCTTGTCGAGTGTAACCGCATTTCTATGAATTTTGACGGTCTCAGTAGGACTTATCGTTACAAGTGCTGAAGTGTTATGCACGAGCTAATGATCTTAGCGGTAAAATCCACCAGTCAGAAATCCAAAAATTCAACAAACAACGGCAAACATCCTTCTCACAAGATACAACCTCCGTAATTCGACATCCCAATGGATGACTCTTTAGCGTTTGAAATGATAGGTGCTATGCTCGAGTCTCGGCTGGCACATCACCACTAGCTGAGATGTAACTGCATGTAGGACGAAACGTGCGTTCTTAGCCTCACTGCTGGACACTATTCACCAAAAAATTATTAAGCTGAGATATTCACTCGTTCTGACACAAGTTCATATGTATCTTCTGTTAGTAACTGTCATTTCTTCCAGATTTCAGTGACACTTCATTCTTTTACTTAGAAGTTTGAAAAAATATTTTCATCACTATTTATCAGTCAACAACCAATTCAGTTTATGAAGCATTTTCTGATTTGGATTTAATTATGAACGGTGAATGATGCTTGAAACGTTATCCTATGAATAACACAGCAATTCTATGTGCATAACCAAGGAAACAAAAGAACTTTCTTCAAGTCACTAAACTAAAGCTTGCGTTTGTGTTTACAGTTTTGAGGCAACATCACTGCAAAATATAAAACCGAATTCTACAATGGTTCCTCTTGGAATGATGTAGTATGCAATCAGAAACATGCTATTTGCATGATATTATAAACAACTTACGAATTTTTATGCTAAACGTTATATGACATATACTACTGGATTCACATAAGTAGTTTGAGACCTCTCACACCAACCAACATGACTGACTTTGAAGTTAAGTTCAACTGTTCTGAACACTGAAAAGTCACTTCACTTCTTTAAGGATGAGTAAAACTCATCCAACCCATGTGGTGGGATAGTGAAACCAATATTTTGTAGGAACTTTCAGTGAATGTTTGTTAACTCCCAGCTTGACTGTTCAAGATGAACAGCTTTCTAACAGAAATTAGCGAATGGTCTTCGTCTAACGGCCTTAAACTAAATTCTTCCAAATGTCAGACTATTAGTTTAGTTTTCGATGTAAACGAGGTTTAAATGAAGCTATTAATTCCTATGACCCTTGTAAGATTGATGATACTGATATAGAAATCAAGTCTGAAGTATCTTGGATTAATTCTTTCTTCTGACCTATCATGGTCTTCCAATGTCTTTGCGATTTCTAAAAGAATATTTCGCCTGACTTTTTATGTTAAGAAGTTAAGGCACTCAGGCATAACCCAACCACTCCTCTTACAGTTTGTCACTCGTGTATTTTACCTATTCTTCTTTACTGTTCACCCTTATTCTTTCCTGGATTGCTTAAAAAAGACCATGTCATACTTCGTAGAACCCTTAAGACTGTCAGTAGGACGAGTGGTATCCTATTGGGCCATATCGTTGTCATTGTCACTGATAGGCACTTGATGTCATGCAACAAATTTGCTAAAGGAATTTTGTCAGACTTTGAGCACCCACTCTACCTGCAGCTCCAACCTTGTGTCTCCTCAGGTAAAACAAGAAGTCTTTTCAGAAGAATTCATGCACGTACGTCTGAGTATAAAGATTCCACTATACCTTATTTAGCATGCACTTTATGCGATGAAAGTGTCAGGCATAAACTAACTAACCTTGTTTACACTACTAAATAAACCATTTCCTCCACCCTTGCAGTACCAAACTTTACTGTTATTGTATTTCTTATATTTATAATCCTCTCAATTTTTTGTTTTGAATCGTTTATTTTTTCATAAGTGTGAACATAATTTAGGCTGTTACAACTGTTAATTTTGTATTTCCACTTACTATACTATATCAACAGAACATTAGATCCAATAATCTATAACATGCTGAAATTTCCAAACTGAATCGACAATACTGTTTGAAACAAACTCACTGTTATCATTATTATGTTTAATAATCTCAATTCGTGCTTCGAATATTTTTGACTTCATATCGTAAACGTGGACAGATTCCTCTGGTTGCTGTTGTTTTAATTTTATTTAAATTTTAAGTAGATCAGATGCAATATTGTGACAAATTTTGAGAATTCCATTCTGTATTATAAGTACTGTTTTTGGAATAAAGTAGATTATTATTATTATTTTCCAAAACGAAATAACATTTAATTCAGTCACTTACTCGCAAATCCTATCTGGATGATCAAATAATAGGCGTAATAAAAATTCACCTGGTTGATCAGCTGCATACGTACAAGGGACAAGTAGATAATGACCAGGTGATAATTTTAATCGTTTAACAACTTCCCGAGAGTCGAAGAAGAAATCCACACTGGCTATATGATGATTAGTTTCGAAAAATCCACGTGACATTGGTGGATTAGCACCTGCTGGAAGCTGAGTATCAAAAAAGGGGGAGAACAATAAAGATAAGGCATAATAGAGAAATTAATTACTTAAGGATGAAATTTTCAGGTTTGTTTGTATACAAGATTAAACAGTGTTTTATTACTCTCTCTCTTTCTCCTACTACTGAAATAATAACAATAATAATAATATCAATTCAGGTGTGTGTGCACCTGATAAAGACATGAATAATGGCAAAAACAAATCAAAAACAATTCGTTAACTGTGTCTTAACGAGTATCTGGAAACTTATCTGTACATAATTTATTATCTGTTACTCTAAAACATCAATGTTTCAGGCTTTATAGATAGAGAGAATCTTTTTCTTCACACTCTAGGGTAGGAAAAGTTGCTTACAATTTCGTATTTATGAGAATATCAACATTTAATTCTCCTTGTAGTGGATGGTAAATCAATCTTTTTTTTATTGCATGTTATCCGAACTCATCACTATTAAGAACAGACTAAAATAGGAAGTAGCTATTTTTCAACATTTAGACACCTGAGTTATTTATCTGTGATGAATGGATAATTTTTAATTTATTGAATTGTGCATCAGTGGCATAGCGGTCAGGACGCTCGCCGACCATGGACATGGTCCGGGATTTGATCCCCGGCTAAAGCACACATTTACCTCGTTAAGTCAGCATTATAAGCCAGAAATAATGCTGGTAGAGAGGAAAGGTTGGACATGAGGCTAGCAACCCCATTCTGTAAAAATAAACATTGCTACAGAAACTTCAAGATACTATCTTGGGGCCCTATATTCAACTGGGAACGTGAAGGAAAGAAAAAGAATTGTGCGTCGGTGGTACAGCGGTAGAATGCTAACCAATTACGCCTCACGTGGTCCGAGATTCAAATCTCTGCTGATGCACTCCTCTACCTCACTAAGCCTGTAGTAAAGCCGATAGCGAGAGAAGGTTAGCCGTGAGTGAGGCTAGTAACCTCACTCTGCAAAAATCACCCACTGCTACTGAAATTTTCCAAGCTCTAGCTTGAAGCCCTATGTTTCTGTCGGAACATAAAGGAGTTAAAAAAAGAGAATTCATTGGGTAAAATTTTAAAAAATTCCAACTGTTAAACTGAATGATCAATTTTTATTTTGTATCTCTAGGTTATTATTTAATTTTATCCTCCTATTTTTGTAGTATTTCTCTATTAATTCGTTTCGTGTATAACAACAAGCCTCATCAAAAAACAAGTAGTAGATTTTCTTATCAACTTCAACAGGAAATGCTTGTATTTTATCAACTAAAAATATACGAGAACACTTAAACTATCTACGTAAAGAATATAGAATGGAGTATGAGATGGAGGCACATAAGCATATATACATACATACATACATGTATATCTATATATGCACACTCCTATGCATTCCGTGATTTATTCTGTCACTAGTAGTATTACAGATAACTACAATTTATATGAATGCAGAAATTTCTTAATCCATAATAAGTGGATTTTCTTTATATTTTTTTTTCAAAAGTAAATAATAATAATAATAATAATAATAGTAAAAACTACAAGATGAGTTCACTTGGTTACAGTAAACTTCGTTTTACAAGAAAGTATGGATAACTATCTATGAAGTAAGCATATTTCGCAAATTTTAACAACAGGAAGAAGGCGTTACTAATGTTTTATAATACAAAGGTCATGTAGATATAAGAAAATAATTGTACGCACATTTAAACAGTAGATAAAAAAACGGAGAGTATTATCGAAGTAGTACACAGGGAAGAGTCTCGACTAACTCATATTTTTGAAAAATACCACTGCACTAGAATACGACTATTATTATTCGTAGTAGAACTTTTTCTCCTTCACGTTCCCCAGTGGAACATAGGGCTTCAAGCTAGTGGCTTAAAGTTTCTGTAGTAATGTTTATTTTTACAGGATGGGGTTGCTAGCCTCATGCCCAACCTTTCCTTTTTACCAGCATTATTTCTGGCTTAGCAAGGTAAAGGAGTGAGTCGGTGGCCGGGGATCGAACTCTAGATCATGTGCATGGTTTGTGAGCATCCTTACCGCTATGCCACCGACGCACACTAGAACTCCAGGAAACTCTGTCCTGTAGCAAGTCAATAGCGAGCATCAGATTAATTTCCAATAGTTGGTTTGTAAGGATGGATGTATCGGCGATGATATTAGTTGGTGGTCGCGCTAAATCAAAAATTGCTAGAAGTTAGAATTCATTAGCCGACCATTGAATCGGGTCCCAGTTGCTGAATGGTACACGAGCTTGTCTTGTAACCGGAAGATCCTGGGTTCGAATCATGGCAGTGGGTGTGTGCTGTCGATGATTTTTTATAGATATTTTACAAACATGAAATTTGTTGGAGAAGATTTCATCATCATCAACATCATCATCCTATGTGTCGTTTTCAGTTCGACTTTATGAGGACTAAAACTCAAAGTTATGCCATACACTTTACAACTTCTTTCATCATTTTTCTTTAATACAATGTCAAAGTTTGCTAATATAAATGACTCAGCTGAATGTTATGGCTAAGAATCAACAGAACTTCAGAGTTCAATGGAAACCTTCACCAAAAACTTAATTGGTTTTGTTATACAGTCTAGAAACTCAAGTTCCTAAAAACTGCTGAGAGATTACTTTAAAATCAATTCTTCAAAAGGACTTATTCAAAATTGCTTATTCAACAGAATGACAAAAATGACTGGTACATGGAATATTTCCTAAAGACTCAACAACTTTACAGTACCTATACATTACCAAGGATAGGAGCTTGTCTTCTGGAAGCTAATGTGTGTTTCTATGGTGTAAAAAATAAGAATGAATATGTATAGGCAGTCGTCTTTTCGATAATACTGATTTATTAAGCTAGATTTTTTCATCCTCCCGCACCCATATAGTTGGAAGCCAAGTTTAAATTAGTGCCTATAGAATGCTAATCTTAGTAGAACATTTAAGATTTTAGTAGCACAAAACAAAATATCTTTAGTCCAGAAGTATTATTTATTGGGTACCTGGACTAAAATCCGAGTTTCTCTACTAATATAGTCGTTTCTTAAACTCGGACTATGCTCTAGTCAATATGGATTCTTATTCCAAATGGCTATAAGTAATAATTACACAAAGTCCAAATGCGAAAATCTCCACATAGAGCTTTAAGGAAGATTTACAATCGAGGAGGAATTCTCAATGTCTTAACTTAATGATAATGGTACTCATTCCACTGAAAAGAATTTCACAAATAGGCTCAAAGATATCAGTTATCGTAATCTAAATACAGCATGATATCATTCGCAATCAAATGGGTTGGCAGAAAACTTTGTCCAAACACTGAAGAGTGCCATAGCATCAGTAAATCCTAAACGTTTTAACGAACAGGAAAAGTGTGTCGACAAATTCTTAATCCACTGTCGCGATGAGGAGCACACAAATACTCACGACAGTCCTGATAAACCCTCTGAACCTTGATATCTCTCAAAACATCTCATAACTATGACTCTTACTAATGTACGTTATTACAGAGAAAATGATTATCAGCCATGTGTAGGAGTCATGAAACGAAAAATAGGAAATCAAGTGGTAAAGATATTGAACTTCAAAATATGCGTCAAGTGAAATATAATGAAGTCGTTTCAACGATATTTCCTCAAAGATCCCACTATTAATCCTTATTTTGTAAATAATTTAGAAAAAAAAGCGAACGAATTCCATGGAAATACTAATTCTAAATCAATTCAAAGATCCGAGTGGCTCGAAAACAAACCAGAGTTCAGTGAAAACATCCTGAAAGACATTTAATGTATGGCGGATGTAACGTCCTAATATAACCACTACTGCCTTATGTAAATTTTCATTCCTACCTGTTTCTATGCATTATAAATATATGGTAATCTCTGAATTGTAGATGTCTAGATTTCTGCTTTATATATCCGCTCAATAATCATTATAGTTACAAATTAACACCACCACACCTTTATATACCGAACATAGCTGATTGTTTGTCAGAATGAAAATCTGCCCATGTTCTATTGAGTGCGTCGGCGGCACAGTGGTTAGGACTCTCGCCGACCATGCACACGGTCCGAGGTTCGATACCCTGTCGACGCACACCTGATATCTATGGTTGGCCTACACAATTTTGGCTACCTATATCACATGCTGAAAATTCCATACTTGTACCAAAAATACAGTGTGGAATCAAGCTGTAATCAAAAAAAAAATAAATAAATTATCTCAGATAACTTTTCTCTCATGAACAATACAACATCGAAAATGAGCGAAACAACCTATGAACTTCAGTTGGCATAGTTAATTCTCTAATAATAATAATAATTTAGATTAATTCTGGTAATAGTATATTATCTTTGGAATGTGTTTTTCAGTAATAAAAAGAAGCATAAAACAGCATTATTCCTCCCTACCAACCCCCCCAACCAAAAAAAAGTTCATATCTTCAATCTACCATATGTTAGAAAAATTATTATTCTGCAAGACATTTATTGACTAGAAGATAAAGACAAAACTGGACAATGTTTGAAGTTTGTTTAAGATAATATAAACGATGCGTATGCATGTATGTGTACGACAGATGTCTTGAAAAAAATATATAGAATAATTATTTTCTAAACTTCAAAGTCTGAATAGAATCAGTCAATAGAAAAACTGAAGAGATAAATAAAAAAGACTCTTCAATGGAAATGTGATGTAATTTGAAACAATTTTTAGAGAGAAAGATAAACATAGGAGTAGACTAACTATTACGAAGGAAGTGAAGTCAACATTTAACGAAAATCATCAAAATGGCAATTGTGTTAACCGCCATGTTACTTAACACTCCACTGATGTATTCGCAAAGAAAGGATTTCCCTTTAAAGGGAGTTTTTTATTTCCTTGTATATGAGTGCGTTGGTGGTGTAGCGGTTAGGACGCTTCCCGACAACGCACATAGTCCAGGGTTCGGTTCCCGGCCACCGACGCACTCCTCTACCTCGCTGAGCCAGAAATAATT